CATCCTAACCTCCATCACTACAGTTCAGACGGTGTCCTACTGGAGCTTTACAACAAGGTTCCTGAACACCTACAGAACCTTAAGGAGCAGATTGGATGCACAGATGCATTTTTTTTCTTGATGCAGAACTATTCAGATGTCAAGCATTTAATTTTTTTTAAATTTAACCTTTATTCTACCAGGTAAGTTAGTTGAGAACTGGTTCTCATTTTCAACAACAACCTGATCAAGAGGCGGAATACAAACAAGATGAACAACAAAAACAGACGACATGTAGAGAAAATCACTTGTATAATAGAGGCTAAAAACAGGTGCAGTGGTCCTGAAGGGTTACTGATTTTTTTAAACGACGATAGCGGTACGTATGAGGGGAGTTTTAGGGATGATTGTTCCCGTCATTAGCGGCAGAAAACTGGAATGAGGATTGACAGAGAGCAGGACGGACTTTGGGCATGTGGAGGTTAATGAGACGGTTTATACATTCAATGCAGTCAAAGTGTGTTTTATGTTGGAAAATGGTGTCAGATTAGCTCAGTACCAGCAGATAGTGAATGTTAGCTAACAGCCTGGGTGGTGCAGAGCCTGATCATCCCTACACAGCGCTAACAGAGCTCCTCTGTCAGATCACGTTTCTCACCTGGAGCAGTACATCAACTCCATGGAGAAGCTGTCGGTCAACTGCCACTCCAACGGAGAGACGGAGGTCGGCTCCGCCTTCTGCCGCCTGGCCGACTTCTCCAAAGAGCTCCTGTCGCCCATGAAGAACCTGGTGAGTGACATCACACGGGTCAAAGGTCACCTGATCGCAGCCTGAGGCGGGTTTGAAGGTCTCAGTCTGAAACCCGGATCTGAACCAGAGAAACTATGATCGGACTCATCATAGCAAACCACAAGAAAAAATCCAGTTGATTAAGTTTTGGTTAATTCCAAACGTCACTGAAGAACCCTCTGTGATGTCTTCGTTCTTCTTTTGACTGAAAATAAAAAATACCTCCTCTGCCTACCTGTGAAGTCTTCAGTACAGGGGTCTCCAATCCTGGTCCTGGAGAGCCACAGTCCTGCATGTTTTAGATGTTTCTCTCTTCCAACACACCTGATTCAAGTGATCAGCTCATCATCAAGCTCTGCTGAAGCCTGATAACGATCCTGGTCATTTGAATCAGGAAGAGGGAAACATCTAAAACATGCAGGACTGTGGCCCTCCAGGACCAGGATTGGAGACCTCTGCTTTAGTAACTCAGCTGTGGCCAAAGTTCACATGATGAAAACTCTAATCACTTTATTTCACATGCCTCACTTGAAAATTTACCAAAAAGACCTTGTGTGCTGTCACCAGATTCTGTAAAAAACAAAAAATTCGGCGATCTTTGGCACAACCGTGGAGCCATTAATGACTCGGATGTGACCAACAGTCACATGATGAAAATTCAGGGACTTTTCAGCTGAACTGCAGGCTGGGTTTGTGCAGAGCCGACAGGAGAGAAGCATATAAACAAATTAGAAATGTAAATAATAAAATATCTTTATTCCAGTGTTGGTAACACCTGTGGACATGATTGTAACTGTGTCATTGTGCACAGAAGACATTTATGAGTTCTCTCTCCTTCCACAGTAAAGAAAAAGGTAACGGGAGCAAAAAGAAATGAACCAAAAATCCTCTAAAAAGTGCTTCATTCTCAGTTTTATTCAGCGAACATGCAGCTAAAACATCTAAGCTTAACATTTGTACTTAAAACTTTGGTTCGATTTAAAATCAGTTAGTCTTAACTCTGTGATTGAAAACCTATGATTCGTTCTTTAATGAAACGTGTGTGATTCCAGTTAGTCCGTCTGTTCCAGACTCCACCAGAAAACCCTCGGATCCAGAGTCATCTGAGTTTATGTCATGTGGTGTTTTGCCTTTGTGCCATCCGTCGCGTATCCCCGAAACAGAACCGCCGTGACTAGAAGGAGAGAGAAAAGTGAAAATGATGAAGTTAGAACGACAGAAATCAGAAAAAATCAAATGGAGTTTCTTTGATTATTTATTTTACAAAACTTGAAAAACCTGAAATCAACATATGCAACTTTTTTTTCTCTAAGTGTCCACAGATGTTTTCAACGTATTTAACTATTTACACGACCTGCAGTTCAGCCGAGAAGTCCTAGAATTTAAGTTGGTCACAGCTGAGTCGTTAAAGGCTTCATGTTTGCAATGAGGAATCCAGAATTTTATGTTTTCTGCAGACTCTGGTTGAGGCTAGACGGTAATTTGTGCAAAAAAATGTAAGTAAGACACAAAGAATAATGTGATTTGGATGACGTGTTGGTTATTTTTTCTCAACGAAACATCATGTGACAGATGAGTAGTTCAAGGACGCTTAAAAAAGTAGAAAATCTGGCAGTCTTTTCAGTTTTTACTTGCTTTTCAAACCTGTTGACGTTTGTTTTTTCATGCCAAGGGTTAGTTTTGTTCATAAACCAACATTTTAAAACACAGTTTCATCTTTTGTCTACTTACTTTCTATTTTAGTGCGAGAAACGATCCGACTGTATTTGACATAAGTGAGCCGTAGGCTTTTTCCCATGATGCCTTTCAGCAGCTAACTGTGAGGCGGCCTGTGTGTGTTTCAGCTGAAGAGCATGCTGCACAACATCAACTTCTTCCTGGACTCTCTGGTTAAAGGAGACCTGCGGGAGGTGAAGGGGGTGAGCGCTCTGGTTTCATATGAACTGTAACTCTGACGGGCCTCTGGTCGGTTTTATAAACGTTTCACCACAGTTCAGAGATTCATCGGCCACATTTTCTCCATGTTGCTGTAAAGCTGCTGACAATAATCACAGTGGTTTCATAATAATCGTGTTTCTTGGTCTGTAGGATCTGAAGAAACCCTTTGACAAAGCCTGGAGGGACTATGAGAGCAGATTGTGAGTCCAACTCGATCTCTGGTCTTTGTTTTGTGCTTTTCTTTGTGTTCTGGTTAAATCAGAAGAAGACCTGAGTCACAGCCGAGTGTGTTTTCAGTAAGCAGGTGGAGAAGGAGAAGCGGGAGCTGGCTCGGCAGTACGGGATGGTGAGGAGCGAGGTGAGCGGAGGAGAGATCGCCGAGGAGCTCGAGAAGGAGAGGCGCTCCTTCCAACTGAGCATGTGCGAGGTCAGTGACTCCGCCTCCTGCATATTTTGCTCCTCCCCTTCCTCCTCAACTTCCTCTTCCTGCTCGACTTCCTCTTCCTCGTCTTCCTCTACTTCCTCCTCCTCTTATACTTTCTCCTCCCCCTTTTCCTCCTATACTTCCTCCTCCTCCACCTATACTTCTACCTCATCCTCTACTTCCTCTTCCTCCTCTACCTCTACTTCCTCCTCCTCTTATACTTCCCCTTCCTCCTCTACTTCTTCTACCTGTTCTTCTTCCTTTTCCTCCTATACTTCCTCTTCCTCCTCCTCTTGCTATACTTCCTCCTGTTCTTCTTCCTTTTCCTCCTATACTTCCTCTTCCTCCTCCTCTTGCTATACTTCCTCCTGTACATGTACTTCCTCCTCCTCCTCTACTTCCTCTTTCTCCTCTTCTTCCTCGACAATAAAGCAAAATGTTCCACCTTTACTATATCACATGAGAGGAACTGTCCTGATAACATCTGGAAAACATTTTTTTGAATGTTGATTTGAGAACCTTCTTCCTTTGTTATCATGGAACATTATGAGAATGTTTGATGTAATGTGTTCCCTCAACGACATCCCCAAAACCTCAGAACATTTGTTAATGTACCACATTACGCCCACGTTTTATAAAAATCTTCTAAAGCCTTGATAACATCTGGAAAACCTACTTTGAATGTTGGTTTGAGAACGTTCCTATTTTGTTATAATGGAACATTGCGAGAATGTTTTATAGAGGAACGTTCTATAAAAGTCATCAAGGTTAGTGGACGTCCTTCTTTTGTCATCATGGAATGTTGTGGGAGTTATTCAATAGAAGAACGTTCTATCATGTGTTCCCTCAACAACATCTTCAAAATGTTTTTTGAATGTTGCATTGAGAACATCCTTCCTTTGTTGTCACTGTGGAAATGTTTTATAGAAGGAAGTTCTGTTCTATGTTCCTCCAGAACATCCCCCAAACGTCTGAAGAACGTTCCAGGCAGAACGTTCCACCTGTTGGCAATACATCACATGACAGTTTGGGAACGTTCCTCCATTTGTTATCATAGAACATCATCTGTGTTCCTGACAACGTGCTCTGAATGTTGGCATTATAATAACGTCCTAGGAACATTACTGGAAATGAAAACATTCTTGAAAACAATCATTTAATTAAAGTGTGTTCTTTAAAAACTTCATTAGAACGCGTAGGTTAATGCTCGCTGATGTTTTAGGAACGTTCTACGTCATCTGTGTTCTGCTTCTCTGTCCCTCAGTATCTGATCAAGGTGAACGAGATAAAGACGAAGCGAGGCGTCGACCTGCTGCAGAACCTCATCAAACACTATCACAGCCACAACAAGTAGGAGCCCACGCAGAACCCACACAGAACCCACACAGAACCCACACAGAACCCACGCAGAACCCTTCAGTAAACCGGTGTGTTGTGTTTACCGTCTGTGTTTTCTGTTTCAGTTTCCTGCAGGAGTGCGTCTCCACCACTCAGAGGCTGAAGCAGTACATGGAGGAGCTGAACGGAGTCCTGACCACGGTAACCTCGCCTCCAGGGGGGCGCTAGCACAGCGGGATGGTAGATTGAAGGGTGTCTGCAGTCAAGTGCTCCTTTAAATGCTCCTTTAGGAACCTTGTTTCTCGTTATAGCGCCACCTGCTGAAGTAAGCTGAGGGTGCAGCATGTGTTTAAGGAAGTATCGCGTTTGTACTTTGGTGTTTATTGTAACCGAACAAATAAATTTAAAAATGTGAAGTTTAAACCCTCCTCTATGTGCGTTCAGAGCCTCTAAATCTGAAAATATTCACAGTATGAAGGTAAAACTTTGCATGTTTCCATTAAATATTCTAAAGTTACTGTAGATAAACAAAATCACTGGCGATAAAACGGGGATCCAGCTGTGCAGCATCTGTTACCATGGCGATCTAGCAGCCACACAGATCCCAGGTGAGCTGTTGGTGTGTCTGCAGGTGAAGCAGCGTCAGGACGAGGAGAAGAAGCAGCTCTGCGCCCTCAGAGACCAGCTGAGGCCGGTCGTCCAACCAGAGCAGGTCAGACACACAAAACACCGAGCGGCTCTGTCACACACACCTGTAGAACACAGGTGAGCAGTGTGTGTGTGTGTGTGTGTGTGTGTGTGTGTGTGTGTGTGTGTGTGTGCAGGACTCGCTGCCGAAGCAGGTGTACAGCATGCATCAGCTGCTGGGAGACAAGCAGTACGGGACGGAGAGGTCAGGATTCCTGTACAAGAAGAGCGACGGGTAAATACAGAACTAGCTCACCTACGTCTGCTTCATGTAAGAATGATGTAGATTTAGTGACATTTAGAACATTTGTTCAATAATTTAAAGGGTCTTAACTTTGCAGATTAAGATTTTAACATCAAAAGGGCATGATGAGCTGATTAAATATGATGCACTTTGATAGGTTACGCAAGCAAAGACAGTGTAAAATATTTATAATAAGATATATTCCCACATCATCAGCTGACATGACCTACAAGTTCTATAATATTTATAATATTCAAAGGAGGAATTTTATAATGAAAGAGATATTTTAATCCTCTGAAAGCATGTTGTTTTTGTAAAATCACATAAAATCTATACCCTTTATCAGAGCCAGAGACTGTAAAAACAAAGAGATTCATCAGATTTTGCACTTTCCAACTGTCCTTGAATGGATCACATGTGATGTGCATTCATACTGTGGATATTTTAAATTATTTTTAATTGGCCTCTGCTCTGCGTGAACACTGTGGAGTAGTGAGAGCGCCAAATTACAAAAATAAATCAATGAAATAATAATAAAAGTGGAAATAAAAACACAAAGAAATAAAATAAAAAATAAATAATGTAGCAATGTAAAGTAATGTTAATCAAAAATGAATCCATAAAAGAAAAGGCTAATAAAAGTAGAAATAAAAAGACAAATAAATGAAATAATAAAATCAATAATTTAAAAAAACAAAACATTTTTAAAGTTTTTTTTTATTTATTATTTTTAAACTCGTTTTTTTATTTATTTATTTATTATTTTTATTTTTCAATTTTTTTTATTTATTAAAATAAATTATTAAAAATTTATTTTAAGAAAAGCCCTGAGTTTTTGTCTCATGGCTGTTGGTTGCAGTTGCATCATTAATGGCTTCACGGTTGCGCTGAGGATTACAGAATTTTTTTATTTTTTACAGCATCTTCTTAATGTAAATGGTGTATTTTATATATATATGTATATTTGCTAATTTTCTAAATGCCACATGTAGAATAAAGGGATTTTATGAAATATGAATTTAAGTATAGATACGGTTAATTTTCTTGATGACACAGCATGTCACAGGATAATTTTTTACAGTTTCTGACTCTGACAAATAGTATAATTTTGGTATTTTTTTTAATGAACACATGCCTTTCAAACACGTCGTCAGGTTTTGTGGTTCAGAGGGATGAAGACTAGCGACTGTAACGACATAAACACAACCACCACATCTCTGCCTTGATCTAATTAGAACGTTAAAATTCCAACTAAACCCTTTGAAAGTTTGTCCAAAAGTAAGAAGCAGATAAACATTCATCCTCACAAAGACAACTACACACACAGCTACACACAACTACACAACTACACACAGCGTCAGTCAGCGTCACTGAAAGAACTAAACCTGTCGGTTTGTGTTTCAGGTTGAGGAAAATGTGGCAGAAGAGGAAATGTTCGGTTCACAACTGTTACCTGACCATCGCACACGCCACTGTGAGTGTGTTTGTGAGCGCTGCTGCACAAATAAAGCTTCAACTGATTGAATCTTATCCTGTTTTCTCTGTTTCCGTCCCGCAGCCGAACAAACCTCCCACCAGACTGAATCTTCTCACCTGTCAGGTTAAACCCAGCGTGGAGGACAAGAAGTGCTTCGACCTCATCTCTCGTAAGACGCAAACATGACAACAGGCATTACAGCACGTTACCACACAATAATGTGCACAAACACAACATATATGTGCAAAAACACGCCTTTAGATACAGTTTTTACACAAACATTTTAATTCTACATAATAAATGTCACCCTCTGAACCCCGAAACCCACCAGCAGGTTTGAAAGGCATGTTGTCTTTAAAATAAATCACCAGCATTACATTCATATCAGCAAAAACTGTGACGACAGAAGGAGCCACCACACGTTTAGCTTTCTGACAGGCCTTCAAATGCTCGTTTGTGTCGTTCCTTTGGGAGAACAACCAAACCTAAGCTTAAAACAGGGATCATTTATCCAAATATGTTTTTTTAAAAACATGCCTCAGTTGAAAATTTGCCAAAAATAAACCGTTTGCTTTAACAAGATTCTGTAAAGAATAAAAAATTCTGTGATCCTCGACGCAAACATGAAGCCATTAATGACTCGGCCGTGACCAATATTCACATTACAAAAATTCACCAACTTTTAATCTAAATTGCAGGCTGAAGAGCAGAAAGGATGGTAAAAAGATTAAAAATGTGAATACTTAAATATATTTTAGGACACTGAGCCACTATTTGTTTCCAGTTTTGGAAAAATCACCTGTGGACACTTTGAATAATGTTGTAGCTGTTTTAAAAAATGTCCATAATCAGAGAAATTCACATTTTGTTTTGTGTCTGTGTTTATGTCATTCTGCACAGAAGACTTTTCTGAGTTCTAGTCGTGGTGGTTCTGGTTCCACAGAGGTGCTGCAGGACAAATACAAGCCTGTGTAACATTGAACTCTTTCTCCTCCAGATAATCGGACGTACCACTTCCTGGCTGAGGATGAAGCTGAATGTGTGGCGTGAGTCCAGCTTTATTCAGACTGACTGTCAAAAGGGGAAACTCCACAGAGTTCACACTTTTGGATCTGTGGTTCTTTAGAGTGCTGAAGGTTCTTCATGTGTTTCTGAGTTATTTGGTTTTGTTGGCAGGTGATGGCATGGTATTAGAGCTGTAGCTAACAGTTATATGTCATCACAGTTTCCCAATCTGGCATCTTGGAGCATGTTGTTCTGTCTGGCCAGCAGTCCTGAACCCAGAATGTTAAAGGTCTTCTAATAGGTAGAACCCTGAAATGCTGCAAATTGTTCAACTTTTTTGCCTACAAATTACACAAACAATTATCAAATCTTGCTATGGAAATAGAACCAGGTCGATCTACAAAGACAATAGTTTTTTAAAGAACCCATTTTTATTAAAGTTCTTCAGAGCACCATTTGAGATGCCTAAAGGAACACCATTTAAGATGCCTAAAGGAACCATTTTTGATGGTTCTTTGGGTTTTTTGTTGAAAAACGGTTTGGAAACAATGGTTCTTTAAAACTCTCTTGGTGAAAGGTTCTTTGTAGAACTAAAGATGATTCTGTAGCATCACTGTGAATAACCATTTTTGTTTCTAGTTTGCAGCTTTATTTTGTCGGGTTAGCATCTCAAAAGGACTTGAACAAAATAGTCTAAGTACAGTGTTAGTGGAGTGTGATATTTCTTTTATTGGGCAGAAAAATAATGGTTCTTAAGTAGTTCTTCAAAGCGGCGTCACCTGTTGAAGAACCTCTTTATGTGCTGGCAGGTAACAGGCTGATGTTAGAGCTGCAACTGATTGATTATTTTTAGTTTGGATTAATCCTTTGTTCCATAAAACATCAGAAAACCAGGAAACCCTGTTAGCAGAAAAGAACCAGGGAGCTCCATGAAGAACTATCTTAGACGTCTTCTTTGAGGTTCCTTTAGAGATAGAAGTGGTTCTTCTGTTGCATCACTGTGAGGAACCATTTTTGTTTTTCTGACGTAGCGTTAGCATGTCAATGTAAAGTCTCAGTACAGAGTTAATGGAACAGTGATGCTAAACTGCTGCAGCGTTCTTTTATAATGACACTGTGTTGTTCTGCAGCGCTGGTGTTTCTGCTAACATGAGAACCCGTTGTGTGTTCAGCTGGATCTCGGTGCTCAGCAACAGCAAGCAGGAGGCTCTGAGCGTCGCCCTGGACGGCGGCCGGAGAGGCGGCGGAGGCGGCGAGAGCAGCGTGGAGGATCTGACCCGAGCCATCACCGACGACATCCGACGGATGCCAGGAAACAGCAGCTGCTGTGACTGCGGAGCTCCAGGTGGTCTCCACCGATCGATCAATCAGTCGTGTCATGAACCAACAAACAACCTCAGCAGCCACAAAATACATCAGGCTTCATTTTGAAATGAATAAAAGGTTTTAGTTATGTGACAGAAATTGAATCTCCAAGAAATGTAGTATTTTTTCCCACTACATATATATCATATTTAATCAAGTAAATAATTATTCTAGAATGAAATAAAATGTAAACTAGATATTTGAGGTTTAAATTAGTCATTGAGAGAGAATCTTGAGCTATTTACAGACTTTCAAAGGTTAGGAAAACATGTGATATGTCCAAGGTTTGGTCATTATTGTCCTGGCTAGCTTGGAAGCTGCAGCAGTAACAGATTATAAAAGACGACAGTAGATCCAGACCAAAAATAAAAACCCCAGAATTAACCAGTGGTTTTAAAAGACATGTTATCTGTTAGAAAATTACCAAAACTACACCATTTATCTGAGCCTTAAGCTGTGAAAACCAAAAGATTAGTTGGATTTTCAGCTTTCCAGCGGTCCTTGAACTACTCGCTCCATTGGAAAACTAATCTAAGCTTTAAATAGCATTTCATCAAAATCATTTTGTTTTTCATGTCTTATTTACAAACTCACCAAACAAACAGTAACACCAGATCTATACGTATTACTGTATTTCTAAACATCCTGGAGGTCAAAGGGCAAACTTTGGTGTTTAATGTGAAAGTCAGCAGGTGGCGTTCAGGTGACCTCTCTCTCTCTCTCTCTGTAGATCCTGGATGGCTCTCGACCAACCTGGGCATCCTGACCTGCATCGAGTGCTCAGGGATCCACAGGGAGATGGGCGTCCACGTGTCCAGGATCCAGTCTCTGAGCCTGGACAGCCTGGGAACCTCAGACCTGCTGGTGGGTCACACCTGTTAGCCAACTAGCTAATCCATTAGCAGCCAGGTGGAGCCATGAGTTTAGTTCTGCGTATCGGTAGACAAGGCATTTATCGTGCACGTCCAAACATGGCCAGTGCAGTTTAGAAAGTTTGTGATAAACCATAAATTCAATTGGCTTCATGTTCAGTTAGCTTGGATTTAGCTACAAGTTCAGTTGTTCCAAAGCTGTAACGCAAAGTCGGACAGCTTTGAAGTCCAGTTAGATCCAATTTAGTTTCACGATAGCTTTTTCCACTCAGCCCAGAGTTAGCTTCAAGGTCCAGTTAGCGAAGAAATAGTTTGTAAATCTAGTTAGTTAAGCATTAGCATGTAAGGCCACTTAGCAAAGAGTTAGCATGTAGGTACAGTTAGCTTTGATTTAGCTTATAAAACTAGTCAGCACAGAGTTAGCTTGTAAGCCAAATTAGCGTCCATGTCTTGTTAGCTCAGAGTTAACTTCAAGGTCCAGTTAGCTTCGAATTAGTTTCCAGATTCAGTTCATTTTGAGTTAGCCTAGGGTTAGGGTCAAGCTAGCTTTGAGTTAACCTCTATGCTGAACTAGTTTCTATGTTGTCCAGTTAGCTGAGAGGTAGCATCCGGATGTGGAATTAGC